AAATAAATAGTAGCTGAAGATGTTCGTGCTGCACTTCCATTCGTCTTTACTATGCTCAAATCATCAATGTTCAAAGTGAACCTGAAACTGGTTATGTCAGAAGCTAAAGCATTCAACATGTTATTTTCAACCGGTATTCATTTGTTCATGGAGTGAACGAATTTGTTTAATATGCAATCATGCAACTCGAGTTGGCTATTTGTGGTTCCCTGCATATCGGAGTGATGTGAAAAAGGGTAGAAATAATAATGCTGTTGTAAGCCGACTTGCAAATCGCTATAGATATTCAAATATCATTAGAATCGACCCTGTAAAGGAGAGTGGAAAATACGTTAAACTTCAGTTACTTTGTGATTCTTTTATTGAATTTGCACACAGTGATATTTTTAGAAATTGAAACAATCTACGTAAAGTTATTACCTGTTATACTATTGAAAACAGTGATATAATATCTGTGTTGAACAATTCTGATCTGTGATTCTTGATGAAGACTACCATGGAAAATAATTTTGGTTGAATTTCTAATAGCATTTATAGTAACAGATCCATGAGCCATCATTGTAATTGAATACAGATCCAAAACCAGAAACTTAAATAAGTACGAACAGCGCGTTGTTCTGAATAAAAAAATCACAGAAAAGAATTATGAATAACTGTCCGAAAATCGATAGCGCAAGAAGTAGAATAATACCACATTAATTTTGCATGGCCTATTGGCATGAAATTTAGAAAATTAAATCATTTTACGGGTATTTAGGATCAATGTTGGTACGTGAAAGCGTACGTAGTAGGTGTATATAACTTCATATGCATCTAATGACATATATAACTTCATATCCATACGTGAATGAGTCCAAATTAGAAAAAATTAAATTAAATATTTTAATATACCATCGTAACTAAAGTTGGATGTAAATTAATAACCTTACCAATTCTGATCAACTTTCCCTTTTGACCCCTGACCTCAGGTCTTTATTTCATGCGAAATTTAATTGTTGAAATTTCGTTGTAATTGCAGCCACAAAGGCAATAATCAAGTTATAATTTAACTCATTCACATAAGATCATTGTGTAGCACCTCAATCAAATTTCAAGATTCTTCTCAATTGCGTTTACGTTACTAGCAGAATGTCAACCACATCCACCTGGCAATGTGAACATCACGAGCTATATTGAACAGTTTTTCAAACACTGCACTACTGGTAATTAGTGAAGTTTTCACTATGCAATGCAGGTTATATGCGAAGTTAAGCAATGCACTGCAGGTTATTTTTGAAGTTAAGCAATGCACTGCAGGTTATTTGTGAAGTTAAATATGAACTGCAGGTTATTTGCAAAGTTGAAAATGCACTGCAGTTTATTAGTGAATTTACACTTGTAATGCAGGTTATTTGTGAAGTCAAACAATGCACTGCAGGTTATTTACGAAGTTAATCATGCAGTGCAGGTTATTTGAGAAGTTTAAAATCCACTGCAGTTTATTCGTGAAGCTAAACTTGTAATGCAGGTTATTTGTCAAGTTAAGCAATGAACTGCAGGTTATTTGTGAAGTTAAACATGCACTGGATGTTATATGCGTAGTATGAGCAATGCACTGCGGGATATTTGTGCAGTTTATGCTATGAACTACATGTTTTTGTGCATTTTAAACAATTAACATCAGGTAACTTGTGCAATTAAAAATGTGCAGGGCAGGAAAATTATGCAGTTTAAGCAGTGCACTACTGGTAATTTGGGTAGTGGTTACAATACATTGCAGTTCATTTCAGCAGTTTGAACATGCACTTCTGCAATGCAGTTCGAACATAAAAAAATTTTTATGTTGAACAATGCACTACTGGTAAATTTTTTCTGTTCGAACATTTTTAATTTAATTTAATGACTTTTAATAATGAATTCAATGTAATTTAATCAGTTTGAGTAATGGAACAGGATTTTAGACTTTGGACAATAATTATTTTCTATTGACAATAAGTTCAGTTGGCGAACTAAAACCGAAGTGTTAACTTTGTACAATGTACTACTTGTATTTTTAGCTGTTGCCACACTACTGGTTAATTAGGCAGTTCGAACATAACAAGAGGAACTCCTGTTAATTTATGTTTTTCGAATATTTAAAGAGAATTTTTGACCGTATAGTCGTTTCATTGCTGTTTATCTGCATATTTCGAACATTTAAACGGAATTTGTGACGTGTTTCTGATTTTATTTTTGAACTAGTTCGAAAACAATGGCGGGTTTGTAAGCGGAATGTGTTTTTACTGTCATTTTTAATATTCCATCGTCAAAGAAATTATGATATTAATTAGAAGATCATTCATATATGGTGCTCAGTTGTTCTCGACATTCTCTCAATTTTCTAAAAAACAATTGCATGTATGTGGGTAAATTTATTACGTTTACAAGGATTTTCGTGTAAATTTTGCGTTCGAAATGCATAGAGGAGATAATTTTACCTGTTGTTATATATGAGTGAGCGGAATGTCGAGCAATTGGTTTCACCAGTACAATAAGTACAGAGGAGAACTCAAGCTCACACTTTGTACTGGCACACGAAACGGTAAGTGCTCGTGCACGATATGTCCCGTGGCTCGTACTTAGGGGGAGCCTGGAGTCTGGCGCAGGCTTCATTATTATTTTTTCCCAAAATTCCTCCAGTGGTTACTGTTCCGTCCTTCCAGAACCATTGTCCCTCAATCAGAGTCAAGTCGACCCACCAGTCCGTTGTTGCAGATTTATCTGTAAAGTAAGAAACACGCACCCAATAACTCACATTCATAAAATTAATGGAAGTGTGCATTCATTGAGCATATAATTTTAATGAATTTGAGATAGAAAACCGGATTTGATTTCGTTAAATTTTATTCAAATCAATTGTATAAGCGTTTGACGAATGTATTCATCGGGCAACATATAACACGCACATTGGCGAAAGGGTTATGTGGAAAAAATTCAAAGCTCCACACGAGCTTCAAATAAAACATATTCGGAAGATAATGCATCCGTCAAGCTTAGAACCATCCGTGAAAATTCGTACATAGGAACAAGAAATTGTTTTCAGATAATCTAAGTTAATTTTTTCTTTCAGTAATTCAAGTAAGATTCTTCAGTGGGAGTGAGGAAGTTTATTATAAGAATTTTGCCCACTAAAGCGATGAATTTTGTGGAAAAAAATGACTCTGGTCAATGAAGGATTAAATAGCATTCAAGTGAGAGGCCACAATGTAGCAAGCCAATTTTCGGTCACAGTGTTTTAGGTCACCGAAATTCTCTGACTATGACTGAAGATGAAAAGTATAGGCACTTTCGTAGGACGTGGGGTTCATTAGTATTTAGCTGGGCTCCACTCTGAACTCTTTTTATTAACTTTTGTTAGCATTTTCGCATGCTGTAGTAGTATTTCCATTACCATGGCAATTATGTTAGCCTCTCATAATCAAAGGATTAAGTAAATATGTTAAGTGTACCTTTACTATTTCGTATTCTGTTATTCTTCAACCTCGTATATTATGGCCCGCGGGCAGAGACCTTTGATATTTGAATGTAGCTAGCCGTCTCGGTACAACAACAAGTACAGCCCTTTTTAACTTTGCCCCATGCAGGCACACCCAAGCACTATCCTCAGAGCAGACATCGTTTCATGACCCTCAATGGAAACGAATTGCTGGCCTCCGACTGATTTGCGTCCAGCTCGCAAACTGAGTGAGAGACTTCATGAGAAGGACGAATGACTGAGTGAATTAAATGACTAACAAAAATGTATAGTGATACAGACATAGAACTGAGTAAATGAATGAAAATAATCTGGTTGATTATTGCATTATTTAAAGTTTACTTGCTGCTTGCTGAATGAACCTACAGAAGTTCGTTTTATCCTATTTGTAGTTCCATCGATTGAAGATGATTAATTCCAAGCTTATTTGCAGCTCAACTTTTATTTGTTGGCAGGAAATAAAGACGTTCTTATGCCGATCTTTGTAATAAATCTTTTTTAAAACACGTCAAAACTGAACCGAATATAATTTGTAGTGATTTCAAAATTCTGTCCTTGAAATTCATAATCCCATTATGCAACATATTATGGGAAAAGTCGTACAACAGTTTCGATGAGCATCTATTTACCTTATTAATCAACGTCCCAACTCAGACAGCTCTCAAATTATTTCACAAAAGCCAATATGACAATAATGCCTTGATCTTGAAGTAATGTGTCAGCTGGTGTATGATTGCAAATGCACGATTTTAAAAGCAGTGACAAAATGCCTTAAACAGAACAAGCTGTTAAGAAATCGATTGTGCGTAGTAAACGTATCAGTGGAAATCCTCGACTTCACGTTCACTTTGCACCTAGAAAGAGCAATTGAACCGCCTGTTTTTGACTCACTGCTGTTGAGGTAAGCCACGAGATCAGCCATTTGGGCAGCAGAGGATGGATAGGCGAGCACGCTGCCCAATGGGCAGGAGCGTTTAGCCGTAGCAAAGTTGACTGCATTGGACGAGAAAAAGTAGCAGAATCCGCCCACAGCTTCAAAGCCTGGCATACACGCATCTGATGGGAGATAATGGAATTGTTAGCTACAAGTTATCAAAATTTCCACCAAAAATATCCAATGTTACCAATGCTGGGGAGTAATTTATCAGCGGAATAGAATTTGAAGCAGTAATGCATTCAAATGAATTAATTATAGACTATTGAGGGTCTCATCACTTGTAGGTAGAATATATTTTGACTGTTGTTTGACAACACCACAATTCCACACGCTAAAACCTGTTGGAGTTTCAAAATATAATGACAGATAGGTTTACTTGAGGTTTGTTTTTTATTTTCTGATGCATGTAGAAGAAAACATATTATTTTCCACAAATATATGTATTAAGAAACATTCTGTACGATAATATATTTAAATTTAGCATTTTATATCCTGTCTAAGTACTATAATAACTCTCTTCAAATAATTCTGAAACAAAATTGTAGGACAGACAATTAAACAATACCGTACCTCTTTTCTTCATGAAGGTGATGAATACTGGGTCCGTGATGAGTAAGTTGGTGAGCACCGAGGCGCTGCTGCTGAAGTAACACTTGGACACTGAGGCCGCCTGAGTGATGGACACCGCCAGGCACCGCGTGTCCACGAAGCACCGATTCCGGCACACGCCTGAGATTGATAATACAAACAGATATATGATTTCGGCATATTTATTTAAACAAACCGTTGGTGGAATCTGAATGATATACAAATGAGGCATGTACTGAAAAATGTATGAACCCGGCTCGTGTTTCACTTACTAATTTTTCCCATTAGTACACAAATGATGATCTTCGTTGCTTACAACTTCAAAATTGTTTGAAAAACTGAGCGAAAACTCGCATAATGTCAACTATTTGTCATCAGAATGCGGACATCATTTTACCAAATTTTCCCGTGCGTCCAGATCACAGATGATATGCACAATATTTGCACTAATGATCAGGCTGCCAGTATATTTTACGGCAAGACGCTGAAGCCGCGGGATTAGTGGTGTACATTGTCTATTTTTTTTTCAAAAAACCGGTTTGGTTTTCCTTCAGACTGGTCTCTATTAATTAAATTGAAAGGTTTATTCATAAGTACGTATTCAAATTGGCTCGTCCACTCGATGACATAGCGACACTTCGCATGGATGCATAAAGGCAAAATGCTGTGAATGAAACAACGAAAACAATCTCACAAAAGACTTAGTTAAAACCATTCTACTTCCAGGAAAATAGAACAATAATCTCGATTCTTATACTATCTTGAACGATTAATGCTGGTACTCATCAGTTATAAGGACGTTTTTTCTTATTATTAATGTAGGCAACAGAATTATTCTGAACCAAATTCAAAAGTAAACTAACTTGGTTGAATAGATTCGATTCAAATCACAGACAAAAAGTCTGATGCGAAAAGTTTCTAAAGCGAGCGAAAAACGGTTGAAAGACTCACATGCGCTCGGTGCCTCCAAGTAAGACGTGGTCCAAGACTGCGCGATCTTTACGTCGGTGAAGAGCGTCATTGCGCTCGCCTGAACTGCGCTGAAACTGCTCGCCAAACTGAACAAGCAGAGCACGCCGGAGAAGAACATGCTGCGTGTTCTGGAGTAACCAACGCTTTCGATCAACCATAAATGAAACTATATCAATAGCAAAGGCTTGACGCATATACGTACATCCAATTACGTTAATTTTTCTGAGTTTTTTTTCAATTTAATTTATCCTGGTTGTATTAAATTTCAGCCTTGATTTTCTATAAACAATGATAAATAATATCGGAAGATGAGCTAATCTAGCGCAAGAAATGCCAAATCGATTCGTGAAAATTTGCAAATAAAAAAAAGCAAATTACGAAAATTTCATGATTGGGTTATTTTTGCTCAAGGGCTCAATTAAACAGCTCCAGTTTAAAAATTGTCTTTCATTAAATATCAATTATAATGATTAACAAATGTTCAATTACGCGAGAAGTGCAATTATCTTTCAAGTGTTCAAGTTAGCAATATCTTAATAAAGTACTTTTTTTTAGAAATGTACTTTTTTGGAATTGAATGGGAAGGAAGGGCAATCAGGAAGGGCAATACATAATTCTTTTGCACTAACCGGCCCGCAAATACCGAGAAAAAATTAGCAGCTGAGACCCCTGTTCACTTCTACCTGAGGCAGCTGAAGCACTGCTGATTTCTAGTTAGGTGAATCAAATGAAAATGGACGCTTGCCAAAATATTCGGATTTTTGTAATAATTGCATTGACCCACGCTAATGTGCACCCATAAATAGCGCAAATCGTCGTTTGAAATGTACTATAATTATGCTGCAGTTTTAACACAAATAGAACATTGCCATCGCTCCAGCTTGGATAGTTAGCGATATCTGCATGAGGTCGACCGCAGTGTAATGAACATAAATTGAGCCTGACCTGAGTGGCTGGGTGCGAAAATAGCTTTGAATTTCTGTTAATTTTTCTTTGTTCAATATATTTGCTAACAGAAAAATCTAGCAAATTTTCGCATTTAATTGTGAAGAGTCATTCATTCGAGCTCGATCATTATGCGTTTTTGTCGTGAATGCTTGAACTATTGTTGCCAAGGCTAGATGAGTTTTTTCTAATAAGATTGCGGAAGTCTGTATGCTTTAAATATGGCATGAAAGTATTTAAATGTAACACGAAAGTTTAAATTATTTGTTCAGCTTGTTTTAGAGGAAAAGAAACTTCTGTAGGAAAACATTTTTCCATGACGTGGGATTGGTCATCTCTACTTTATTGCAATAAAGTGGAATAAATTTGTTGGAATTTAAATTTTTTTTGGAGGGTTATTAGAGTTCTGATGTTTTTCTGCGTCAAATTCTATTCAATAGTTCGGTAGAAAAGTACTGAAGTTCGGCACTGAAAAATGCACTTAGAAAATCGACGCAGGTAATCGACTGGTAATCGACTGGTAATCGACTGGTAATCGACTGGTAATTGACAGGTAATCGACAGGTAATCGACTGGTAATCGACTGGTAATCGACTGGTAATTGACAGGTAATCGACAGGTAATCGACAGGTAATCGAAAGGTAATCGACTGTTAATCGACAGGTAATCGACAAGTAATCGACAGGTAATCGACAGGTAATCGACAGGTAATCGACAGGTAATCGACAGGTATTCGACAGGTATTCGACAGGTAATCGACAGGTAATCGACAGGTAATCGACTCTACAAATAAAAATTGACACGCCATCACACCGACAAAATTTGTTATTGCGTTTCTGGCTGTAAGCGTGCAGCTTGGGCCTTCGTCACGCGACCTTTGGTGAAGTTATGAATGCTGAATGCTTTCGAATAACTTATTCATAATATATGTAGGAATTTATAAGTTTGAAACACGTTGCCGTAAATATATTGAGGCGAATTGAACACATATCATGGGGCCTATCTGACAGGGCTATAAAATCTAAAATTTTAATCTTATTAGGGTTTACTTATCTTTATTTCTTATAATTTCATCCTTTTGTTATTCGAAAGCAACATAATATTTCATCTCTGAAACAAATTTACACAACATAATTCGAAAAACCTTGCGAATTCTAAGTTCACATTTTCGCGTTTTTTATTGTCTCCTAATTCCCCCACTATGGATAAAATTTCAAATTTATGTACTCACGATAAGTGTCGTGCATACGTACAAGAATATTCACGATTCCAGGCTTCAAACATGCACATATACAAATTAATTTTGATGGATTTGTGACAGATTTCGGTAATTTTTTGTGTGTTTTCAGTGGTGTAATCAAAAGCGAACGGTCGAAAAGTTAATTTATTTATTTATTTTAAATATTATTAAATTTATTTATTTTTAATTTTATTTTAATTTATTTATTTATTTTAAATATTATTAAATTTATTTATTTTTCATTTTATTTTAATTTATTTATTTATTTTAAATATTATTATTTTATCACTGGAAATTAAATGCGAATTATTCGAAAATTTGTTTGTACAAACTCAGCATAACTCATCAACAAGTTTGGTTGCACAATTTCTATGATATCATGATATTTTATTCGAAATCGTTATTCTGAAATTCATAGTGACGATAATCACAATCAATGCCTAGTCACATTTCATGTCTTATATATTCTTTCGCAAAAGCTGTCACACATTATGCCCCGGACATAAAAAATTAGAAGAAAACTTCAAGAACATTTGTTCGAATTATAAGTTTGAAAAGGAGAGCCTTGGCAACAAAAAATTCATGTTTTGAAGGCCATAGTATATGTGAGTAGAATGGTTTTTAAACCATATTGTCCATCAGCAAATGAAGCTATCAAAATATGTGTAAAAATTGTTAAGAGAAATAACACCTATTCAGTCATTTGACTGAATCTTCGTCATTAATGTGGAAACTATACTTGCTATAAAGTTGTTCTTCACAAGGATTGTCATTTTGATGTATATAATTGGAAGTACATTCGGAGAAATGGGATTTTTCTGGCTTCCAAAATAAAGAGGAGAATCCAAATCTGCATGCTGGAGCGAAATATCCAGTAATTCAGGTTGATCAAACAGGTGCATGACTGCAATCTGCACTCGAAATGTAGCCTTAGGAACTTTGAAATTGTGACAGCAATAAACGCTCGTATCAAGTACGAGCGATCGCAAAACTAATTTACTGCTGATAGCAATCACACTGCACAAAGAAATTCCTTGTATTAGCTATCCAGCTCTAGTGAAGCGTTTTTCTAGGAAATGATAAACCTATGTTCGGCATATTGACCAGTCAAAACCTTTAAGCGTGTATAATTCCTTCTAATGCCGCTTCCTTGGAGACCCACAGTGCGCACTTATGTTCAGCAATGCAACTGGTAAACTGCAAGGGTTTCTAACCTTACGGCGTGCCATTTTAATTTTTTCTCGGTTGCAGGTCACGCACATAAAACGTTGGCAAACACCGATTATGTTTTTCTTGTGCTCTGTGTTGATTCATGGTTCAATGCTTTGCCGAATACTAACCGCGTTTACATTGAAAGACATCGATTCTATTCATAATGAGCGAGGTAATTCAGCTTCAGCAAAATTAACCGGGAGGATGATGACTTGAGCTCAGGTCAAATTTTACTGTAGGCCAAGATGGTCGTACACACGTGGGCGTTCCAGAGCAACAGTGACAAATATTGTCTATGATTTACACAGAAATTAAAGTTACATAAATGATGTCCATCGAGTAACATCGATCATATACATGTAATTATACGTTGGAAAAAATTATCTTCTGCCATGAAGGTACTCTTTATAAGGCTGATAGGTTCTCTTTCCAATCATTGTGAACTTCGATTCACAATTGTCTCATCCGTAAATATAGTGGGCAGCGCTAATACTGCCAGTCATCGCGAATGAAATCGATGCATTGCCAGAGGTGCTGAGCGATGCCCGCAGGCATGAAGGTCTGGTTCTGTAACAAAGTTTTCGGCTAGAAATTACAGATTTCTCTATGGTAGAATGGTTACGGCTTGCAAAATCTA